AGATGATGCAGTTACACAAAACCACCACCAGGAGGCAAACTGAGCTCAAACAGTGAGGAAAACTAACTGACCTTGTCTTGAATTATTCAGAGTAGTCACACAACAGCTGATTATATTTGTTAGGTGTTCATCTTCTCGGTTTRAAACCATGTATCTTAGATATGGTATACATACAAAAGAAGGGAATATAACAGACCAAATTTTGTTGGCTCTTTTAAGGTCAAGTTTAAATATGTCACCAAAAGCTGTTCAGATCAATTTGAGTTTTGTCATGTGTTGGCAGCCCAGTATTTTGTAAGATTATTTCACATCATGTGATCTTCAAATAAACTAGAAACACAACAGACAAAAAATCTGCTACCATATGTAATGGGATATCTTTTTTATTTAAACATAACTTATTGTATTTTTATTATTATTGTTGTTTACATAATTTGGGTGAGAAAAATCACAATATCCTAAGTGTTTTGTCTTTCTCCCACTTGTTGTCTTTGTTCAACCTTTTAGTTGTTTCCATCCAGTAAAACATAATGTGACAAAGTGATTCATTTTTTACTGAACCTGTCATTATGTAAATGAATAAGAAGTGTGATTTATAAAGATTTGTTCTTGTTGTCCTAAAGCATCTCTTCTCTTTGCTGTGAAATTGTCTTACATTTGCAGTTACTGTATGACTAACTGCAACATTTCACACTTTTTGTCCCTGTCCTGTTTTTTTATTTTTCAATGCAAGACATTTAGCACCTAGCTACTAAACAAGTGGATAAAAACACTTTTCTTTTTACATTTCTTTACATTTTGTGCATCTTATTAAAATGAATTGAATCTCAGGGTGTAGTTAAATAATCATTTCTCATTTATAATGAAAGTACATGAGAATTATTAAAGGTATGAAATGAAACATTTAAAAAGAAATAAAAATTTACCTCTTTTTTAATCAGTTTAACTACAGTCATGTGAATGCTCCTCTTCATACTGAAGCACATTAAGCTTCATGCTGCCCGTTTGATAGGTCGTTCCTCCCTTACTTCCTGTTGCAGCCTGTTTGATTTGTGATGAAAGAGTTTCATTTGATGATCTGATCTACGATCAAACAGCGGCTCGATCAAACATGTCTGGGGTGAACAGGAAGCAGTTCACACTCGCAGGACATTATGGCATTTTATTTGATCAGAGTTTCATCTCTGCAGCATTTGGTATTAATTACTTTACCTCTGTGATATATTTAGTCAGTGTTACCTCTGTAGGAAATTAGGTGAAACAAAGCTGAATTATGAGCTGAAAAAAGATGAATATTTCGGKGTTAGTTTAGGGTTTGATCATCTTTATTCTACAGCTGGTTGGTTTTAAACATGATGAGTTAATGCACAACCAAAAGAGCCATTTCTGCTGCTTGACGCACTAATAAAATGTGTCCAGTGCCGCAAAACAAGCTAAAACTATGATTATCAAGTGATGGTCCATCGRCCTTTTTGGTAACCTTCACAGCCAGTGGAGGAGACACTATAAAACTAAAAAATGTATTGTGAGTTTTACTATTTATAATTATTTTTATACACATCAGAACAAATGAAAAGACCATATCCATGTAAACAAGAAAAATACTGTATATAGTTTAAGTTAAATTTCACAAAAACTACTACAACTGAACTATTCAGGCATATTTTTCCATTTCTTATTGTTATGTATTTAAGTAAACAACAGGCTAGCGTGAGCTAACATGCTTTACTTTTTGTATTAGTATTGATCACATATGTGC